CCATCTTCAAATGCAGAGTTCTAATAATGGATCCCATACTACTGTTTGAAACCTCATCCTTCCTTTTTTATTCTGCAGTGCCACTTTCCCACAAATCTATACCAGTGCATACATGTGTACATATAAGGGGTGATTGAAAAATAATGTAGTGTTTTAAATTAAAAGGAATTTACTATAAGACACTTTGCCAAGAATAGTGAAGTGTGTTTGAAGTATATTTTGAGTGTTTTGAGAGGGGTTAATGGCAGAGTGCCTTTTACTGTAATATTTTATTTAAATATTCCTTGTATTTTGTGATTACACCATGTTAAATGTTTACAGCAGTTTCTCTTGAGTACAAACGTTGCAGTCATGTGCCCTTATCTGTCCTGTTCAGCTGATCTGCATTGTGAGACTTCTGGCTCCTCCTTAAAGTCAGAGTGAGCATGAAAAGTCAAAGTTAGGAATTTGTCGGGACAGTGAGGTGGCCGCGACAGCACCACTAAAGACACTCATTGAAAGGGCCGTCCAGAGCTGCTTCAGAAGGCAGCAAGACCGATGGGCTGAGTGTGTTCAGAGTAAAAGGAAGCACACCGGGGCATTCACAGCAATGCGTCTTGTACTGCAGTTACATTTTTAAAATTTAAGTATTTGGTGTATTTACCAATGACACCTCCTACATGTCCGTGTGTACCTGGGATTGCTCCCTGTTCTGTGGTCAGGCAGTCCATCCCTGCATCAGTGGTTCCATGGTCTTGTGCTAGGTTTGGACCAAGCCCAAGCTTGTCCTTTTTCATGTTCTTCAAGCAACTCTTAAGATACTCCATTACACCATTTGTGCTGCTATAACCACACTTGAGACTGGGTGGTTTATGTATAATGACATCTATCACTCACTGTTGTAAAGGCTGAAAGTCCAAGTTGCGGTGAGAGCCGGTGTCTGGGAAAGCTCACTGCCCCCAAGATGGCGCCTTGCTGCTGGGTCCGGTGTCCTGGAAGGCGGTGTGGCTGGAGCAGGAGGCAGCTCTCCAAGGCTCTTCCCTGAGGGCCTGAGACCTGTCCCTGAGATAGAGTCCTCCAGGAGCCCCACTTCTTGACACCTTCATCCTGAAGGTTAAGTTTCCACATAGGAACTTTGGAGGGGCATAATCATTCCAGCCATTGTAGGTATGTGGGCATTTTCACACATCTTGAAGGTAGCTCGCGAAGCAAGATTTTGATTTTGATTGCATTTAACGTATGGATTAATCTTTTATGTATCATGCTTTTTGACAGTGAAAATGTCCCTATTGATTTAGATCTTTATTTCTCAGTGAAGTAAAATGTATATATGTCTTAATTCATATACACATCTATATCTTAATATATATGTATATCTTATAGTGAATATGATACACAGAGCCATATATACCTTATAAGAGCCTTTAATTAGATTTGGTTAGATTTTTTTCCTAGAATTGAGTATTTTTAATGCTATTATTATCTTTTAAAAATTAACTTTTTAACTTTTTCTAGTGCATAGCGTTTCACATTCTATCTTGCTGAATTCACTTATGAATTTAAGAGTTTCGCTGGAAGTTCTTCTGGGTGCTCTGTACACAGCATCCTTGTCTTATGCCTGATATTAAAGGCAGGATTTCAGGGTAGCATCATCAATCATTCATTAAATCAATATTGTTTATTTACCGAGGCTCTTACTATTGTCTCCTCTGTGCTCGGGGTGCAGACCCAGGCAGCATCTGTGAGTGTGCGCTGCTGCTCCCTCACTCTCACTGTTGAGTATTATGGGCTGTTTGTACACGAGCATCTTACACGTGTGAGTTTAGCTAGACACTAAACAATAAAGTTGCTCCAACTACCCACGACCCGGTAATTTTAGCTGCTGTTGTGAACATCGAGTGCACTCACTCATCCCTTGTTGTTGATAGAGGCTACATTCAGTAGCTAGGTGTGCACATTTTATCACAGGGCTGCCTGGTGGAGCCATGTGTCACAGCAGGTGTGTTCATATACGGGCAGCATGTACGCTCCTGTATTGCTGTGTTGGAGCATGCGTAGAAAACCACATTAGAAATATCCCATTTCCTTCCTTGTCTTAGGTCTGGTATCTGTGAGGCAGAGCCCTTTTCTTTCTCCCTCCCTTTATTGTCTGAGACTTTCTTCCCTTTCACATTAGAGGCCACTCCTAGGTTTTCGTTGCTGGCTGCAGTTTCCTGAAGGTGTCCACCTTGGGAATCCATCTGCCCATCCGTTACGCATCTTGAGTCTGCCCACTTGGGGTCCTGCTGCTCCTTGTAGATGGAACTTAGGAAAGGATCCAGTGTACTGTTTGCTCCCAAGAGGTTGCCGGCTTAGGGGGTTGTTTTCTTCAATCCAGGAAAAGATTTCAGAGCTTTGAAAGTTAAGATAAGCGGTCAAGTAGAGACGGTGATGTGTCATCTAGGGGAGGTTGCTGGGATTATGGGATGTTAGAAGCAGTGTTGGCCATGTGGATCTTCCCTGAAATCATAGGGCCATAGGGCAACACTGGTAATGGGACACTGTAGACTCTACATAAGCATTTAAGGGGAAATATAGTCATTATTTCTGATTCACTTTCTGACACTTCTACCAAAGTGTATGCAGTCTGTATTACAGTTTGGAAAGACTCAGGCTAGTGACGTCACCCTTGCAACCAACCTCCTTGTGAATTGGACTTTACCTGCAATTAGACAGTGTCTATTTCAGTCCTACAGAAAATCTGACACCTCTGTATTGATTTGCTGGTTCATTCATTAGTTATATCATTCACTCACCCTAATTATTGGAAAACTCTCATGTAGCAGCCCTCTGCTGGGCAGTGCCTATTTAACAATAAGCTCTCAAGGAAATTACAGTTTATTGGGCATGTAGACCAGAATCAAGGTGATTCCGGTCATAGAATGCCAGCTAGGGTTATGGAAACTGGCCTGAGCCCGGAAGAAGGGATCCTGCCATTGGAGGGTCAGACAGTGCTTCAGGGAGGAAGTGACGTGGAATCTGAGACCTCAGGATGGTTAGGGTTTACAGTGGGAAGAGGGCAAGGGAGGAATGTTTTAGACACATGTGTTAGTTTTTTGTTGCTGCTATAACAAGTTACCATCTACTTTTTGTCTTAAAATTTAAAAAAATATCTTGTATTACAGTTTTGGGGTCTGAATCCTGAGATGGGCCTTACTGGACTCAAGTCATGATGGCAGAGGGCCATGTTTCTCTGCAAAGTTCTTAAGGCTGGTCAGTTTCCTGGCTGCCCCCCAACCAAAGCCTGCTTTGCTTGGCTGGTCCCTCCTCCTGTCTTCAAGCCAGCAGCCTGGTATCTTCAAATCCACCTCTGAACCCTGCCTTCCTCTTTGACCTACCAGGACTCCTGGGCTGACCTTGGGCCCCTTGGGTGATCCCCGCCTCTCTAGGTGCTGGTTCACTACCTTACTTCCATCCACAACCTGAATTTGCCTTTGCATGGAATTTGAATTCCTCACAGTTCTGGAGATTAGGACAGCAAGGTGATTATAGGGTGCTGTTATTTATTCTGCATTCCACGGAAGAGGAAAGCATAGCTAGCATATTTGAAGGGTGAAAGAAACCCAACCTGGCTACAGTCTTCGCCCACGGGGAAGCAAATGGCAGGAGCAGGGGCTGAAAAGAGAAGGCATGAAAATGTGGTTGAATTTTATCCTAAGGAAAGCAAGCGACCATTAAAGAGTGAAATAATTAGATTTGAGTTATTGCAAACTTCCTCCACTGCACTTGGAGGTTCTTAATGGACAATACTTGCCTACTTCACTGACTGTAAATTGAAGCTAATTAACTGAGAATTATCAGAGCATTATCTGAAATAAGAGATAGTTAAATAAATAAATATCCCTATACATGGGCAGAACACCAAAAAACTAAAAAATTCTGAAAAGAATTGATTGTGTCCCTTTATTCATGGTATTGATCAAGGTTTGGGCTGGGACCTTATTATCATGAATACCTGTCACAAGTGGACCCAAGCTCACACAGGGGCCTTCCTGGTTTATGTAAGGGACAGCTCCCAAGTTCACCTCCTAAGAATAGCTGCGTTCAGAGGCTGGAATGGCGCCACCGCTGGTCTCCTCTGTTGGCACCATGGTCAGGTGGGTAGATCTCAGCAGCCTGGCTGTTTTCTGTGGAGATGCAATGCCCAGCAGCACGTCGGGCTCTTACCTCACCAGCTCAGACATCCCAGGTCCAGGTTGGCAGAGGACGTTAAGTGTAGGCCTGCGGATTGGACCCATTGGGCCACCTCTGACTACGTGCTCATCCCCGATACTTGTTGTCTGTTACCGCAGGTGTGAAAAGATAGGCGCTGAACTCTGTCACGCGATTGCTGCTCCTCAGCTCTCCTCTCCAGTTGGATATGGATTTGAAATCTTAAGATGTAGATGTTTATGTTCTGCTACACTCATTGAAAATCAGCACAGAGGTACTTAGTAATGGATATCATTTGCCTGGTTGAAAATGGAAATACTTAATTAAACCTAATATAGTAATGAAATCTGAGCAGGCTTTTATTTAGATCACTTTCTTTTCTTGAGCAACTGGCTGTCTCTTTCCGGCTGTGTCAGCAGGTTTAATCTCCATGCCAGGAAATCCTTTTGCAGTCACGTTGTCCTCGGCTAGGTACAGGTGTGTGTGAGGGTACGTCTGCGTTCCTTACTGGATGTGTAATGCCATTTGACTCGCAGCCTTTCCGCCCTGCGTACTGGAGCATTGGTCAGTGGGACACCTGTTTGCAGGGGACATTTTCAGGCAGAGCAGGTGGCCAGCGTGTCAGAGAGTGGTTGTGTCTGCTTGGCTTCCTGCGTGGCACAGGTGCGGGACCCCCTCTTGGGCCCTCTCTGTCTTGAGCACCTTGTGCGGTGCCTGCAGCGTCACTTCTCTGCAGAGGGCGCTTGGAAACACTGCTGCGAACCCAGCGCCTTCCTCTCCCTCTCTGCCCCTGCCCCTGCCCTCCCCATCTTGGTTTATTCACCGTGTACCTGTGCATGACGCTGTTCTGCTGACGTCCTGGGTCTCACAGTTGCCGAAGTCACTGCTCTGCTCGCCAGTGTTCCGATTCCTGCCACCCCCGCTCAGCGTTTCTGCCCCGACTCCTCCATTGCTTTCCAGAATGATTGCTTCCAGCCAGGCAGGTCCTGTGAGCATTTCTGAGCCTCTCCAGAGCCTGCTGCGCTTCGGTGGTGAGCTCTTTCCCTCCGGTCTTGGTACTGTTGAGATAAAGACTTTCAGAAATACTTTGGAGTCTCGGAGTTATGAGAAATAACTTATGAGTTATGAGAAATAATTCCCACCACCCTCCTTCCTGCAGCAGTAGATTAAGAAGCGGCTTTTTCTGAACTTGTTCACCCTTGGCGACTGCGTTCTCACTCGACCCTCGTGTCTTCCGTGTGCAGCTCTCACCTTTTGGTTTGGGTTCTCCGGCAGCCCACGGAGGGACGAAGTGTGGTTGGCTTTTCCGATGTGAAGTGCTCACAGAACCGAGTGCCTGTCCTGAAAGGCAGCTGCCTGGGACGTGCCATTTGCAAACGACATCAGGTGCTGAGTGATCAGGGTGTCATGTTCAAGCTGGTCACAGTCTGAGGAAACACTGACATTTTAATATTAAAACTGTTTTTAAAAATGCCCACTCAGGCTCAGACAAGACTTCTACAGATGAGGTAAATGAAAAAGGAGGCTGCAGGCTTTAGCAGCAGGGACACTGACTTGAGAAGTGAGACAGAGTCTGGAATTTGAGCTGAGCCTAAAGCCCCAGTGCCCGGGCATGGCCAGAAGCTTCACTGAACCGCGTTGGAAATCTGTCTCCTGCTGTGTCTTTTCTTCTTTGATGAGCCAGATACTCGTGGTCTGGAACCTCAGCCTCCGAAAATAGTGTGACATCTCTTTGGTGAGAACCCCTGGTATCTCTTCAGGAATACCCCAGAGCCCGTGGCCCTCATTAGGACCTCCCAAGAAATACAAGGTTCGGCATTCCTGTGAGCTTAGAACAGATGATAGGCACATTGCAACATCCACTGGTGAGAGGTGCAGGCAATGGACACGGCAAGTAACATCAGACTAATGAATTGCAGGTGGCAGAGCTAAAGGAATACAGTATTACAGAACCATCAAGGCATCCTCACTAAATTATAGACCAAGTTGAGGAAAGGAGAAGGTAGAAGTAAAAATACAGCAACTCCTTTAGAATGGATGGGCGGGCAGACGGATGGACGGATGGATGGATGGATGGACGGACGGGCAGATGAACTGATGGACAGACTGATTGGAGTGCTAGCCATGAAACCCAGGGCCTGGTGCATGCAGATACTCTACCGCTAAGCTCCATCCCCATCCTTAAAAGAATTGTTTAAAATATTCAGCCAATTTCTTCCCAAGCAACCCCGACGTGGCACAAGGAGAGTGAGTGTGCAGCGCGGATGTGGGCAGAGCTGGGCTGTGGCTGCTCTGCAGTTAGCACGTGCTCTCGGGGCGTTTGGTACAGTTTGGAGCTACACACGGGGCTGCTTTCTGCCCCTTCCCGTTAAATGTGAGCGGCCCTCTTTTGGCCGTCCATCCCGCATATGGTGGTGAAGTTAGAAACCTTCTGCACAAGGTCTTATGGGTGGACCGCCCTCGTAGGTGCTGTAGTGCTGATCTTGGTCCCAGTGCCAAGTGGGGAGATCCTGTTTGCAAAGCAAGGTTGCTTTCCAGTCAGAGCTTTGTTATCCTTTTCTTTTTTTCCCTGGGGTGTCCTCTGCCAGGTAGTGGTTGTCTTCCCCCGCCTTGTCACCTCCCTTTGACCTAATTCATGTGAGGACCCAGGCAGCTCTGCCTTTGCCTGTGGTGCCCTTTGAGGGAGGAGCGGTCTCTCACGCAGTTCTTCTCTGCTGAACCTGGGTCTGCCTCCAAGTGCTGACATCTGCACAGATGCCAGCGCTCCATGTGGAAGCCCTGGTGATGCCGTTATTTTTCTGGTAGTGCTGACATAGTGACTTTTAAAAAGAAATGTCTACTGAGATTCTCCTTTAGTGATGATTATTTTCTTTTCTATGACTTAGGAAACACTGACAAAAATACACTTCTTCTTTTGGACATTAATGTGACTGAAATAAAAGTTGAGCCTTCTTAATCTAAAAATCCAGAACTCTGAAATGTTTTGAGCATTGATCTGATGGCACAGATAAAAAAAATTATACTTCTGACTTCATATGGTGGGTCCCAATAGAAGGCAGCTGCACTAAAAATAATGTATAAAATTCTTCCACTATTTGCATGAGTCAGACATAAAACACAAGTGATTCACATACGTACAGTTGGGTCCCATCCCCAAGATAGGACACTGTGTATTTGCAAATATTGCAACCTATGAAAAAAACCCCAAATCCAAAACACTTCTGAGATTAGGCATTTTGAAAAAGAAATGCTCACCCTGTGCAAGGTATCGGGCAGTCCTTCCACACTGAAGGACTGAACTCTGTAGGATTTTAGAAAGTTGGTTTATTATCCACCCACTTCCCATTAACTTGCCTGGCCCTCCCTTGCCCGTTATATGTATCCAAGAAGCAAGGGTTTTTGGATGGCTAATTAAAATTACTTGAATATAAAAAAGATGACGATGGAACAACGAATCTGTGCCTGTAAATTGCTTGCACTTGTTTTTCTTGTAATCTATGTTCGTTGTAGTTTTCCTATCCAGGAAGCCCCAAGTAAGTAATCAAGTGTACCACTGTGTTGAGATATGGAAGAAAAACACAGCACAATCTAAGAAATACAAATGGCAAATAAATACATGAGAAAATGTTCAACGTCATTAGTCATTTGAGAAATGCAAATTAAAACAACACTGAGATTCCATCTCACCTGAAAGAATGGCTGTCATCAAGAAATCAGCCAATAAGAAATGCTAGAGGGGCTGTGGGGAAAAAAATCCTTCTGTACCGTTGGTGGGAGTGTAGAGTGGTGCAACCACTGTGGAAATCATTCTGGAGATTCCTCAGTGAACTAGGATTAGAGGTCCCATTCAACCTAGCAATTTCCCTTTTGGGTAATTTTCCAGAATAACTGAAAACAGTGATATATGTGCACCCAAGTTTATAGCAGTGAAATTTGTAATAGCTAAATCTTGGAAACAACCCAAATGCCCATCAACTGAGGAATGGATTAAAAAGATGTATTTTTTATACAGTGAAATATTACTCAGCTATAAAGAAAAATAAACCTGAGGCTTTTATAGGTAAATGGACGTAACTAGAGACCATGCTCATAAGTGAAATAAATCAGACTCACATGTGTAAACATCATATTGCGTCCCTAGTGTAAGAATCTGGAAGAGTAAATAAAATCTGAAAGATACAGTAGGTATTGTGAAAGGAAAATGAACTGGTCAAAAGGAAAGAACAACTGGGATGAGGGAAAAGAGGAAAGAAAAAGAAGAAAGAAAGGAAGGAAGAAGGAAAGAAAACAAAGAGAAAGAAAAATATGTATATTTCTATTGGTTTATTGAAAGGAACAGTTAATGTTTAATTATTTGATCAATCTTACATGCCTATATCTGATTGTCTGGAGATAACTATATGTAATACAACAACCATTGTTAATTTCCATCACCTTGTTTTGAAATTCAGTATCATTTTTATTTTCATGTTGTTTTGTTTCTGTCTTTGTTTTTATTCTTTTCTCTTTAAGATAAAAAAATAAGACTCTGGTCACGGAGTGTCCTGTCAGTGGTTTTATGTGAAGAAGGGAATAGGTATAGATAATATTTGTGTATATGTAACTTTTGACGGTTGTTTTAATATATGACTCAATGTGGGCAGGGTCCATGTAGTTTTACCATTTGTTAAATGGGTGCAGGTTTTACCTCCCATCCTTTCTCTGGAGGCAGAGGCATAACCTTTAATGTTTCTCCTCTAGATTCCTAACACTCTCTTTTCTCTAAAGTAAATCTCCTCCACTGTCCCAGGAAAGATGAGTGTTCCTAGCTCCTGGCATCTCATGCATATTCATAAGATGCTAAAGTCTGTTCATTATGAGCGGTAGAAGGAGCTTGAGAGCGTTAGGGTGGTCCTCCAAGCTCTTACATGTCGTTATTTTCCCTTAGTTTTCTTTTCTGTATTTCTTCAGATCTGTGAACTGGAAGCAAAATTGACAGAGTAGAATTTAACTTCTTCTTTCTGTGGGAGCCTCCTGGCTGGAGAGGCCCTGTCCCTGTCAAGATGAGCAATTCAGGTCTCACAGTGATAGTGGTGAAGAGAGCTCTTCATCATGAGATTCCGAGGATAAAGCCTGTGTCTGTTTCATTTAAATGATGCACCGAGGCAGATATGGACTGCACAGCCCGCCTCTCTAAAGGAAACTACCTGTCTGAGGACTAAAGCAAGAATGTCCTCAGTTTTAGTTCTTCATTGGATTCAACTAATAGAAACCCAGCCTGGATTTGGTGGTATACTTTAGACTTTTTCCCTGTCCCTTACCCTTTTAGTATTTGACAAAGGACTGAGGTTGAACTGTAGAAATACATGTTTGATATCACAAGATTTCAGCTAATCTTTTTGATTGATTGATTGAGACAGGGTCTCTCCATGTAACTCAGGCTGGCCTTGAACTCACTATATAGCCTAGGCTGGCCTCAAACTCATGGTGATTGCCTGCCTCAGCCTCCTGAGTGCTGGGATTACAGGTGTGCACCACCGCGCCCAGCTATTCAGCTCATTTTGAAGAAAGTTTTTGATGAGTTGGATATGAAGTTGAACTCTGAGTATGAGAAATGAGGAATGTCTTTGAGTGGGGCCATTTTATTAGCAATTTTATTATAGCATAACTTTCTCATTAGTTTGCTTCAAAGTATAATTGTCTAATATGGAGTATTCAGAGTTACTGTACAGCAAGTTTTGATTTCCACTCCTGATTTATAGTAGATTCCTTACTGGGAAAAAATGTCAGCAGTGCACAGACCCCCAGATGTTCACGCGTTTGTGCGTTTAGTCTTAGCAGTTGTGCTACTCCACGTTCATGCGATGTGCCTGCGATGTCGAGCTTGTGGGAGAGCACGCGCCATTCTGGGGGATTCACTGGGTGACCAGACTATCCCATTGCAGCTCTCCGTTCCTGGTGGCCGAGCAAACTGCTGCCTCCAAGTCCTGCAGAGGACAGGGAGAGACAGAAGAGGCTGGACCCCGTCCCTGCAGGTCCTGGAGACTTCCCTCAAGGCTGCGCCTCCTGAAGGCTCTGCCCCTCCCCCTCCGATGGCACCACCCAGGCACCAAGACTTTAGCATCTGGGCCTTGGGGGACATCTAGCGCCCCAGCTTTGGTGGCAGTGGTTACCCCCAGTCTGTGACTGGAGCCCTGAGGCTCAGGAGTTGGAGGACCTGGTCTCAGTCCATGGCGGGGCTGATGTCCTGTGAGGTGCAGGGTGTCCCCTCTGTCGTCCACCTCCCCAGGCCCCAGAGCTCTCCTCGTGGGTGTCTCCATGGCTGCCCCCAGTTGGGAACAACCCCGGTGCTGTGAAATGCTTTAAGTGACTTGTGGCTGTGCAGTCTGCATGGAGATGAGGTTTCCTGGAGCCGTTCCTCGGACTCTCACCATCGTCTTGGGGTCTTGGGGTTTGGGGTGAGTTGGGGAGGGTGGCGGAGTGTGGGGAGAGAATGAAGGCTGGGAACCAGGGATGCGAGAACCCTGAGGATGCTCACAGGGAGATGCCGAGAATGCCCTCCGGGGTGTCTCTGTGGCTTTCTGCTTTTCTGGGTACGGTGAGTTCCCCAGAGAAAGTGGTTGTCCCTGAGCTTCTGTAATTCCAGGGTGACTTTGCACCCACAGGGGGCAGGAGAGGGTGGAAGAGGTTGGAGGAGGTAGCAGAGATGTCTGCTCTTAGGAACCTCTGGAGCAGAAGACCCGAACGCCTGCCCCTCCACTTCTCCCTGCTTCTCTCAATGGCTCTTTGGAAGTCGGGGTTCAGGTCCAGATGGAGACAGTGCTCAGAGGACTGGACAGAGCTACCCTGCCCTGGGGCGCCATGATCTCGGGGTGAGGCTGCGTGGCACACTTGGTAGAAGAGAGAAGACCTCACAGAAAACCCATTTGCAGTCCACGTGCACGGTGCCAGCGGTGAGGCGCAGCATCT